CACAAAGTTATCATTACAATGTAAACACATAAATATGACATAAATATGTTATCATTATTTATGGTCAGTTATGAAATAATAATAATAATAATAAATAAATAATAATAATAATAATAATAATAAAATAATAATAATAATAATAATAATAATAATAATAATAAGGGCTCATCTTTCTAGTTTTATTGTGAAAGTCACGCCGGAAGTGCTCCGAGTGCCAGCCTCCAGTATCAGCAGCGGTGTTGGGATTCAGTGTGGCAGCAAGGGAAATCAGTGGAATCTGGGCTATCTGGGAAAAGGGCAGTCGGTGAAAACCGGCAAGAATCCCGGCGAAGTGTCCACCGTGACACCGCAGAAGCTCCCGGCGGACTCCTCGGTCCCGTCTCCCGCTGCTGGCTGCGGTTTTTCCTCCCTGGATCCGCACAGTAAGTAGCCCGATTCCTCGCTCACCTAAACGCATCTTCATCACACCGCATTCACCCTTTTCCTCTCTCTCGGTAACCTTTGTGGATCAAGCACTAAAGCGGCTTCTCCTGGCTGCTGGAACACCGCAGCTTTTTCGTTTTGTGACAAATGCATCACGATTTCCATTCGTTAACATCCGCTGCAATAAGAGCTAATTAATTCCGTTAGAAGCTGCATGTGTGCAAAGAAAGGAGAAGGATGTGAGGGGGGGGGCACTGGGGTGTCTGCATGTGCACACACGGGCTCGCTGCTCGTAGTGTCACACTGCGCCGGGGCCTGCTGCGCACACACTCCCGGCCTGTATGCGCAGGGTCGCCGGGGAACAGCAGCCGGCTTGCATCGCCTTTCCAGGCGGAATCTCGGCGTAGCTCCGAGGCCAGGCATGCCGGGCTGACGCGAGCTAGGCGTGGCCTTCATATAGCATTACACAGATATGGGCGTGTCCCCCGCAGCTGCCTCACAACTCACTGCTGTCCGGTTAAATCGCATCCACATATTACGCGCATTGATGTGATTTGAGCATCAGTTTCCATTTTCGTGATGTTTTGTGTAACAAGCAGACTGACGAAGGCTCGCCCCGAGGCTTCTTTAAAAGTCCTTCCAAACGCAGCATCATTAGACATGCAGGCCTGCCTGTCTGTCCTCCTCCCGTGCACCGTCAGGGTCTAACTTCCTCTCTGTCCGTCTACACTGACGGACCCAGCACGGTTAGAAGTGGTGGTCAGCCATTTTTTATGTGTGTTGCTGTAAGCTGTCAGGTGTTTAAATGACGTGACTCCACTGTATATATATACAATATATTTATAAGCATTATATTTCTTTGATGTCATTGGTTTTGGATGCCTCAGTGTTGGTGGTTACGGTGTGTGCAGTGTTGTTTGTTTTTGTGCAGTGGTATTAGGAAATGCTAGCAGGGCGGTTAGCTGAACCCACGACTGTACAACACACAGATTCACATGTCGACAACCGACCTTTTGGAAGCCTTTCCTGCGCAGCCAGCCATATTATTAACACTAAATATGGGGGCGTGGTTTAGTTGTGTTACAGCCATTAGAGGTGTGGCTTAGCAGGCGCTGATTTGATACAGCTCCCAACAGGCCATGTTAATAATAACGCTAACATTACACAAAATTATCTTATTTTTTAATATAATATGCAGACACTTACACAATATTTCTGCCAAACCACAGTTATTGTGATTGTTCTTTTTATAACCAAGAAGAATATCATCAGTACTTTTATCACATGCTGGTATTACTATTTGAATTGTATGTTCCATGCTGGTGTGCATGGCTGAATGCGTGTTGTATAAAGTGCTGTGAGTGCTCAGGTAGAGTAGAAAGCGCTGTATAAGAACCAGTCTGTTTATCATGACCACTTCAAAAAGTAGTGAGATGGCAATGACGAAAGATCTTCCTTTTGAAGTATCCAATGGTTACTCATGTCTGTCTTTTATATGCAGTCTATGAGAGAGAGCAGAATATGGAGCAGTTTCTCTGATTAACGTGGTTACGGTTAATCTTAAACTCCTGAGTGCAAACCAGACCGAACAGGCAAACAGCTAGAAGGGCAAACCTGCAGCTCCACATGGGAAATAGTTCCAGGAGCTTTGCTGGGAAGATTTCAGGTATGAACATCCTGACGCGTTCACTTGCCGTGCTCGTCTCTGAGGTTCTTCGACAGGCTTCCTCCTGTCGTTTCAGAGGGTCCGTGTCGAAGCATGTTGGTTTTTGCTGGTCAGATGCTCCAGCATCTCCATACAAGACTCATGTTGTTTTTCCTGCTCGTGTCTCCGTGGACCTGTTGCTACAGCTGCACACGTTTTTACACAAGTCTCTCCACAGCTACAAGATCTAAGCTTCATTCACTCACCATTGTAGTAAAAGGAAGGGCTGTGGCACACACTTTGTACCAATGTGTGACTGAAGATGTAGGAGCAGTGTAGTGTGTTCAGTCACAGAAGCCTGATGTCTCTGCTAGCATACTGATGTAAGTGTACTGATGTAGTGCAACATGAAGTTGTACTTACAACTGATTTTGTGGGAATGAGACTGTGATCACAAACTCTTCTTTAACTGAGGAGTTAATCGTGTCCACTGGTGATGATATATAAAGTATTCAGAGTGATTTCACCACACTAACAGATTTAAACGTTTCTCATTCAAATGTGTGATGCCTCATTTCAACCAAATGTTCTTAAAACCACTCGTAAAGGCGTAAACGTCTGGAACTGGGCTCGTCAGAGCTCCAGTCTAATCGTTCTGGCAGTTTTGAGAAGTCCCGCCTCGATAACTCGCTCGCGTGCGGCAAAGTGGGGCAGGATCCCGTGTCTCCGGGTGGTGCTGAGAGTGAACTGGAGTATAAAAATCTCAGATGCCCTAATTCCACTCAAGGCTTCCCCAGCTATGTGTGACCAGCCCCTGGACTACACTGTCCACTGTGCCCTCACTAACATGCTGATTTAGTCGCCTGGCGCCTTTTTAAACAGCGTGACACCATTTTTGATGGTTTTAGCATTGATGCAGTACCAGTTGCTGCTTATTGCTGGCAAGGTGTGGATTACATGTTTAAATTGTTTAAATATCGTGAACATCATTTGGCTAACCATTGCAGTTAAACTCACCTAATTACCAAGCGCATAAACATTATAAACAATAATATATTGTTGAGTAATCATCACTGCTAATAAGTATACTGGTTGCTTTTCTTGGCAAACCAGAACATGAACAGGCTTCGCTGATTTGGTGCAAGGAGCATGTTGCATAAAGCACTTAATGCTGGGCTCACACTGGGCGATTTTTGGCCCATTTTGAGCTGATTTTTGAGTCGTGCGACCGTTTTGGTGATCGGCCCGAGTTTGGCCTTCATCGTGCATCGTGTAGTATACGTGGGGTAACGACAAGCGATTAACACCTCACGACCAGCTCCCGATCATCAATCGCTTGGTCGAGAGGATTTCAAACTGGTTTGTAACAGTAACAGGGCAGGTAATGTAAGGGGAGAGTTCTCCGGTAACTAACCTTCCCCAATACACACTCAACGTCTTTGAGTGTTACAATGTTACCAAAACAGTAACATTGTAACAGAGATCCTGAACACATCACGATAAAATATCATACGACGATATAATCTCACACACACACACACACACACACACACACACACACACACACACACACACACACACACAC